TTTAATTTTCTACTTATAACAGAATTTAACGCAGATGATTGTCAATTTTGATATTTTGAGAATTTCTGGCTTGAACCTAAGAAATTGTGATATCTATGGTGGCATTGACTACGAATTATATTATCTTGACTCATTATCATTAATTTTTATGGGAAGCGGTTTTCTCTATCACCTTTAATTTTCTACTTATAACAGAATTTAACGCAGATGATTGCCAATTTTGATATTTTGAGAATTGCTGGCTTGATCCTAAGAAATGGTGATATCTATGCTGGAATTGACTATGGGTTATGTTGCCTCCATTCATTATCATCAATTTTTATGAGAAACGTTTTTCTCTATCATTTTCAGTTTTTTTATCATAACAGAACTTAATGTAGATGATTGTCAATTTAGATATTGTGGGATTTCCTGGCTTGTGCATAAGAAATTGAGATAACTATGGTGGAATTGCTTATGAATTATGTTATCTTGATGCATTATCATCAATTTGGAACCAATCAACTTGGATCTAATGGCTGGTACAACGTTATCGATAATCATCTTTTTGCATTCTGCTGCGTTAATAGACTCGATGTTTTTGGTCACCATTGTTCTTCTTACAAAAGGTCAGACTCCTATTTTGCCGTTGAAATACGGTTTTTAGCACTATCATAGCGTGGTCTGGCCACTACAGCCATAAACATAATACATAATAGTTATGAACCGTTTGCTTTTACAGCGCCTTTCTGGTTCTGCTTCGCCCAGCGTAATGTAGTATGACCTTTTAACTTGCGTTGAGTCGTATATAGCCTCAAAACATCGATTTGATTTAACCTTCGACAAACAAAACTCTAGTTTCTTTCATTAATTAAATTAAGATTACATTATATTAAATAGATAGAAACTCGATAATTCTCCAAACTTTCCTTAATCCACAAATTTTAGAGAAATGTGGAGTATAATTTAACAACTGTCGGTAAACTATAAGACTTCTCGAATCTTCACTTTGACTTTTAATTTTCGCATAAAAAACAAATATAGAAAAAGAGATTCGAAGAATTATTTTTAGATAGAGACGCGCTTCTTATTGTGTCGAGATTTTTATCAATTTTTATTGCCAACTGACAATTGAGGAAAAATGAACATACTTGATTACTTTATAACAATATAACGTCGGCTTATTGTTAGTAAGAAAACCACATAACTCCGTTTTGGAAAATTTTACAGAAGACAGAAAAAACTGGATTTTTTAAAATTTGACTATCGTATTAAGTGCTTTTTATTTTAAGCATTTGAGCTGAAACTTGTATTTCAATATACGCGCAGTTTTCGGAATTGGTAGATTTAATAATTTGTTGCATAATTGCATCAAAATTTTATTTTTGGTAAAAATCGGAGTTACGTGGATTTCTTACTAAGCCGACGATAAGTAATCTTACTTGATTCAATTTCAAACAACAACAAAATTATAATTTTAATAATTAATGTTTCCAATTTTATTTATTCAATTACAATTACAAAACAGTGTTATTTATCAGTATTACATAATAAAAACACCTATTAAACTAAAAATGTTTCGGCGTATTGTTTAGCAACAATAAGAACTTGTTCTATCGCAGCGACATTGGTTCCAGAAGCTTGGGCGGAATCGGCTTTTCCACCTCCTTTTCCGTTCATCAATACCGATACTTGTTGAATCCATTCATTGGCTTTTAATCCTTTTTCTTGTGCTTCTTTAGGTACAGCAGCTAAACTAAAGACTTTTGAACAATCCATATCAACCGATACAAACATAGCGGCAGATTTCGGACTTAAAGCCTTAACTTGTTTAAGCGCGGAATCCAAAGCTTTCGTATTGGACGCCGCGTTTAAACATTTAACAATAATCGGTAAATTCGGATTCTCTTTTAAAAATAATTTAACTTCATCAACAACTTGGTTGGCAATTGCAGCTTTTTTAGCGCGTTCTTTATCATCGAGGTTCTTCTTTAACGTTTTTAAAGCGTTTCGAATTTCTTCTTTTTTCCAATATGGGATTATTGAATGTGATGCTTCCTCGGTTAATTCAACGATTGATTTAACAATTTCTTTTGAATCAAAATCGGATTTATCGATTGTTGTTTTGATGTCGTTTAATTTATTTTCTAACAATTCGGTCTTTTTTAAAGCTTTTGCGGCTTCCGGGCCGGTTAAAGCTACAATCCTTCTTATTCCTTTAGCGATGGCCTCTTCGCTTGAAATTACAAAATCGCCGCAATGACCCACATATTTTAAATGAGTACCGCCACAAAATTCGACGGAAGTTTTCGTTCCTTCGGGCCCAAATGGATCAGTTTCTAAAGTTTCAACGGGAATTCCAACGGAAACGACTCGTACTGGATCGGGGTAAGTTTCTTCAAAAACAGCACGGAGGCCATTTATTGTCTTAGCGACACCTAAAGCGGTTTCTTTAGCAAAAACTTCTTTGTTGGTTGCGATAATTTCTTTTGAAGCTAACTCAACTTGTTTGACTTGTTCCGCATTTAAAGCTCCTTTATTTGTAAAATCGAATCTTAAACGATCCGGTGCAACTAAAGATCCTCTTTGATCAGCTTCTGTACCCAAAACCTTCCTTAAAGCATAATTTAAAATGTGAGTCCCGGTGTGATTATTCATAACTAATCGTCTTCGGGATGAATCTATTTGGAGATTAACTTTGTCCCCTACTTTTAAAACACCTTCAATGTTGCCTATATGGATGATATAACCTCCTCGCACTTGGACGTTTTTAACCGTAAATTCCACAGATTCATCATCCGTTTTTACGATGTAACCGGTATCGTAAATTTGACCACCTTGTTCCGCATAAAAACAGGTTTTATCAAGTAAAATTCCCGCTTCTTGTCCGGTGGTGATTGAGTCCACGAATTGTTTATTAAAACGTAAAGCGATTACTTTTGCTTCGCATGGTTCAAAAGTGTAATCGAAAGAAGTACTTGTTGCTGAATAATTGTATTTTGGGGAATCATCTGTTGGGGAAACTCCTTTTTGTTGAAGTTCAGTTATTGAGTGGACATCTAAATTTATTGTGTCTTCAATTCCGATACCTTTACCCTATAACAAAATTGGAATTAGCTCAAAATTTAGTATAAATTTGAATATAAATTATTTCTCAAATTTTATACATTAAATATTAACAAGGAATACTTGGAAACAGCAAATAAATGGATATATGATGGAATGAGGACAGATAGATATACTAGGAGACAAGGTATTTGAAGGTATGAAAAGAATAAGAAACAGCACAGCTCCGAGACCGGGAAATACATTACAAACTGCTGTAGAAACCAGTTACAAAATAGCATTTGATCGAAAATCATTAAATAGCTTCACTTAGACTTAGACCTTGCACTCGCTGTACATGGTATGGGTAAAGTAGCTGTTTATGCACAACTCTCCATACTTTACTATGCGAAGCAACTACTTGTATACACTCTACATATACACCTGTACAGAACTGATTAAAGAGCCGTCTGAAAAGCTTTTACGATTGTTGACAACACTTGTGCGGAAAAACTTTAATGCAGACAAAATACCTAACTACTAGAAAAAATCATGGATCATATCAGTACATAAAAGGGACAAAAATGATCATCTCGAGAACTATAGAGATATCGCAATAATGAATACATTGAGTAGAATATATGTATGGAAAATTTCTGACGCAGATAACTGACAAAGAAATCGAACTGTTTAGCGAAGGACACGCTGGTTTTCATGCACGATAGACAATGTGCATACAACGTGCACAATTACTAGAAAGAAGAGAGATACTTGAAACAACAAATAGAAACCACACCGTCATAAAAGCATTGCAAGTACAAGTACAATATGGTGCCAAACTAATAAAAGGGTTCGTCAGGGTGCTGTGCATTCCCTAGTCTGTTCAGAATTTGCTAGATGGGGCGCTTAAACGCTGTAAAAGTAACAAAAGCATAGGCTGGATAACCATTGGGCAGCTAAGCCTAATGCGCCATACACGTCTAGCCATAGACGTTACATTAGGCAGCTGACCAGACAGTAATGACCCAAGATAGAGAAGATATAAATACAGGCAGAATACAGGCAGTGGAGACTACAAACAAACATACAGAATAAAGTATGTGTATATAGGAGGAAACGACAAATATCTACTACTGAACAATGGAAATGTTGTACAAGTATGTGACGCGTATGATTACCTGGGCATGAGAATACATCACACCGGAAAAAACACGGAAATAATTAAAGACCAAATAAATAAAGAAAAGGTAACTATAAGTATGCTAAATTCAGTACTGTGGAGCAGAGACCATCTTTAAAACCATAGTTGATATAATAAAATGATAAGTGATGTAAGGAGGGTGCTGGCCACGGAAATGGATTATTGGAGAATGGCAAGAAGATCTGAAATAGAAAAAATTATTAACCAGAAAATACGAGAAATAATGAACATGCCAGCTACAATTCTAGATGAAATAAAGTCAAAACAAATGATCTCATGTATTTCGATCTAAAATATTTTCAAAACTGGTCGCCACTTTCGGTCCATTAGTAGTAGACTACAAAATCGTTTTCTTAAATAGAATACTATATTCAAATCCTTTATACAAAAATAGATGGACTTTGATAAAGATTGTTGATACCTAAAGCTTTTCGTTTTCTACTTATTTTCATTTTCATTCCGCATTTCTTAGCCACAAGCATTTTTACAAGCAACAAAGTTGAAAATTTATATAATTACGCTTCCTATACAGTTGGTCAAAAGTGAAGTAAATATGACTTTCATCGCTGAGCTTCTGCTGCAAGCGTCCCTAGCTAAATCAGTCTAGAGATCTATAACATTACCCGATAAAGCCGAGTCAGCTTGCGGCGAAGACGCCACAATATGTTGAACAATTTCAAGTTGATAAAAAGTTAACCACTGAACCTCGGTCGCAAGCGACTTTAGCTTAATTAGTCAAAAGATTTATTATTTTACTTCATAAAGCCGAGGCGCTGCAGTATGATGAACAGTTTTAGGTTGATAAAATGTTAATCACTCAGTCGAGGCCACATATCGACTGTATTTTTAAGAAGCATGATATGATATCTATGTTAAATTGAAGATTCAAGATTCTAGTTTATGATACTAGAATTAAGAATAGCACTATTACTAGAACTAACACTAGACCTAGAAACATTCGAGTTAAGCCATGCGTCGTTTCAAAAAGTGTTTAACGTTTCAGATGCTATGTTGCAACCTTCTCTAGCAGAGAAGTTTATTCGTATAGGCCCCTGTAGCACCAAGAATATATAGATTACCTAAAATCTATGGATGTCCCGCTACTCTGTATTGTGAGAGATATAAATCCTCCAACGTATCACCTGGCGAAACACCTTGCCAAGATTCTGTCTCCATATACAAGTAAAGCAGAATCATGTCAGAGATTCTACGCATTTCGTGGATTCAATCAGAAGTGTGAAGTTAGATCCTGAGGATATCCTGATAAGTTTCGATGTGCAATCTATATTTTCCTGAGTATCAGTCAAAGATACCATGTGGGTTTGGCCAGAAACTCATCCCCGAGGGCTTACAGAAGTATGTTCCAGGGCTAGTGGAGTACTGCTTATCGTCGACATAATTTAGCTGAAAAGGAGAATTCTATGAGCTATGAGAACAGGCAGCCATGGGATTACCTTTGTCACCTGTAATCGCCAATTTTTACATGAATATGTTTGAAGAAGAAGTGTTAAGAAAGAGTCCGTGGAAACCAAAGCTATGGCTCTGTTACGTGGAAGACACCTTCGTGATCTGGCAACACGGAAAACAGCGACCCCAGGAATTCTTAGATCACAACATGAATAGAGAAGACGGCTGGGAAATCGGCTGCACATGGAAGATGTTAGTTAACTCAATAAAGCTTATTCCACCTGGATTTGACAAAAACAACTTAATAGAATTGAAATCGAATTGGTAATCCATTCTGTAAAATTCACGATTTTATTTAACGTTGTTTTTAGATATCGAGGAAGAAGGTATCCGAAACGTCAAACACTTTGCGCACTGCTTAACATAAAAGTTTCTAGTGCTAGTTTTAATTCAATGATATAGAAGTAATCTTTATGTCAAATTGCTTAAAGATTGTTATTTATAATATGATATAAAAACTATTAAATAAGACTTAACGCCATGCGATTTTTTGTTTGATATCCCTTAAGAATGAGGTGTATAAACATATCGATCTAGACTGATCGATCTAGCAAGTTAAAATTTGTAACAGTTGCTGCTGGGATATCCTTAAATAGATCCCCATTGACTACATCGGTCTATCTTTTACAGAATGTTCAACAATATAACTACTGTTTTACCATATTCAATTGGAAAAAAGTCGAAAATTTTAAATGAAACAGCCTATATTTGATTGGTTTATCAGATAGAGAATTTAATTCTCTACAAATCTTCAGTACATATCCCTCTACCTATCTGTTGCAGTTGTTGAAATATAGCAGAATTTTTTTAAATCATGCAAAGAAAGGCAGATCTGATCTTGTTCATTTTTTCATTAGTAGGCCATGAAATAAAACCATGAAAATACGTGATTAAGCATTAATAATGATTTAATAAACTTTATTTATAAGTGTTCAAATATCTGCCCTCTGTGCTCTATGCACAGCGAAGCTACTAAAACGTTAAAAACTAAAGAAATAATTTTTTTTTTCAAAAATTATAAGCGATCGTCAAAATGTTTTCAAGTAAAAGTTATGTGAAATTATGCTGTCTACCCAACTGAAGAAAAAAAATTTATAGATTTAAAGAAATAGCGAAATTAGTACTCACATCCGGTATAACCGGAAGTACAAAGAGACTGATTTAATGTCGTAGTAATCCGTTTTAACGGCCTAATTATGCATTCCAAATGGTTTTCTTATATCACTAATAATAAAAAAAAATATGGGGGTGAGCCACTTCTGAGGGACACCCGGTATGTTTATTTCGGTACGTCGTAATGGAACATCCTGTATGTATAAAAATGTCTCAACTTATTAATGCCATTTATGTACTTTGCCGCTTACATGGGACACCTGTATATAAATATTAACAAGACACAGAAAGTATTCAAGCTGCTGAGATAATAACACACACAAAAAAGCCAATTGAAGAGTACTTCTTGTACTACTGAAGCATGATTCATTTAAAAAAGAAGTATATAACTTTAATCAATTTTAGGTTTTTCATAAACTAAGGTTATGTAAACCTGTTATTGAAATTATAAATAAAAATGTTTAACTTACTTGTGATATAAGTTGTGCTTGTTTTTTCGATTCCTCATAACCATTCATATCAACAGCTAAACCTTTTTCTTCAGCCATCAATTGTGTTAAATCAACAGGAAATCCATAAGTATCATAAAGCCTCCAAGCAACATCTCCAGGTAAATTATTACAACCCCCACCCAATTTTGTGATTGTGCGATTCAATAAATTTCGCCCCCTCGATAAAGTTTTCAAAAACTGCTCCTCCTCTTCATTAATTACATCAATAATCCCTTGTGGATCCTTCTTCACTTCTGGAAATGTTTCCCCTAATAACTCAACAACTGTATTCACTAAACTTGCAAAGAATTTTGGTTGGGCATGTAATTTTTCCGTCGCATATCTAACAGCGCGTCTTAAAATTCTTCTTAAAACGTACCCTCGACCAGTATTATCTGGTGAACCCCCATCAGATAAAGCAATTGTTAAAGTACGAGCGTGATCAGCAAGAACTCTATAAGCCATATCAATACCATCTTTATCTTCATCTCCAACCCTACCTTGGTATTTTGGAGCCCCTGTTCCCTTTTGAATCGCCTCAAAAAGTGGTTGAAATAAATCTGTATCATAATTGGAACGTTTATTTTGAATTACAGATACTAATCGTTCAAGTCCTAATCCACAATCAATGTGTTTTTTTGGAAGGAGTTTTAATGAACCATCTGATTCGCGATTAAATTGAATAAAAACCAAATTCCAAATTTCAAGGACATCTGGGTCATCTTGGTTAACTAAATGTGGAACATCGCGATTTCCAATTCGATCAAAATGAAGTTCAGAACAAGGCCCACATGGTCCAGTTTCCCCCATTTCCCAAAAATTATCTTTCATATTCCCTGGAATAATGTGTTCTGGTTTTATACCAAGTTCTAACCAAATTTGTTTACATTCTAAATCAGGTTCTAACCCAGATTTTTCATCACCACCAAAATAAGTAACATATAATCGCTCACTAGGTAATTTTAGAACCTCTGTAAGTAATTCCCAAGCCCAAGCGCAAATTTCCTTTTTAAAATAATCCCCAAATGACCAATTTCCAAGCATTTCAAAGAAAGTGTGGTGATAAACATCTTTCCCAACATCATCAAGATCGTTGTGTTTTCCACCAGCACGAATACATTTTTGAGTGTTAACAGTCCGAGTCCATTTCGCCATATCACTATTGGGATCAGCAATACCAAGGAAGATGGGTTTAAATTGATTCATTCCAGCATTTGTGAATAATAATGTTGGGTCATCAAGGGGAATTGTAGATGAGGAATGAACATATTCGTGCTTTTTTGATTTAAAGAAGTTGATGAAGGCGCTTCGGATTTCTTTAGCGGTCATTTCAGTATTCATTTTGAATGGGGTTTTAGGGTGATGTAACTTCGGTATTGAGTTGTGAAGAAATTACCATATGCTAGATCATAAAAAGTATTTAAAAATTGGGTTATTGATTTTAATCTGTATTTTAATTAACGTTTTAATAACGAATCAATCTGTAAATAATTGTACTTACATTTTTGAGAGAGTCTCAATTAAAGTTCCGGTATGCGAAACGTGTTATAACCTCAAAAACCGTCTGGAATGTAAGATTGTAAAAACTGCACTGTCTCTCTGTCAAGGAAAGTGCTCTTAATAAAAAATCGGGTTTCTCTATTATTGCATCAGATTTCAGTAAATAAAGCAGGTTTAAATTATTTATTATTTACAAAATTTGAATGTTTAAAGGTCACTCAAAAAGTTTTTTCAAAAATTTTATAATTTCCAATTAGTCAGAAACGATAAATTACTTGATTATGCATGAACTTTGTACCAGTAATTCCAAATAAACTTCATTTTTAATTAATTTATCTTTATATTAAGTTTAATTGAAATTTTGACATAACTTTAAAAGTACATCATTTTCTGTGGTGATTGTACATAAGTACATATTGTTGTAATCAAGTGTTTATTTATTTCTAAAAATTTTTGCTAAAGATAATATTGCTTTATATTAATATTACCTTTATAGAAAAAATCAATAATATTTAAAATCAAGGATATAATTAATTAATGCACATTTTTTATTTTGATAACTGTACTATTTTATAAATAATAATGACATCATCTTCCCTTGTTCAACAATTATACATCAATAAAGTGTAATACGACAACTAAATTATTTTATTATATAAAATATAAGAAGAATAATTTGTGATCATAATGGTAAGCAATTTTTAAATAATAATTAATTTTAATGTTAAATAAAAACGATTATATTTCGTAAATAGTATGTTAACTGACGATTAGGAATTTTGACCCCGTTCCTAATTTCAAATATCACCTGTTTTCTTCGCTGTCAAAAATATGCAAAAAAATGTCCTTGTTCGATCATCGCCACTCTGTATCATAAATTTTAATAGAACAATTATTAACTCGCACTTAAAACGTTCTCGTTGATTCTGAAGATGCTCGCGACAAACGGAAATCGTGGAGTTACGGGTACGTTAAAGAAAATTGGCGGTAACGATTGGACGTGATGAGCTTCTAACCCAACAAGTAGAAAACAGTCCCCCTTCATAGACAGCCTTTTCCCCTTGATGCGTTTCGGCTCCTCATTGTCCTACGACAATTTCGCGTACGACGTACTGAGGGCCTCGTCCGCAGGTAATAACAACAATATAAACAACAAGTGTATCAACACAAATGTCCCCCGATCCGGCCCCACCATCCAGTAGTCTCGCCAGCAGTGAATCCCTGTCAAAAATGGCCAGGGAACCTGTTGTGAGAAAATGGGAATTATTCTCTGGAAGAAATCGGTTTTATTGTAATGGTCGCATTATGACTGCACCACATTCTGGAGTTTTTTTATTAACAGTGTTTTTAATTACTGGGACAAGTATTTTATTCTTTATTTTTGAGTAAGTATTTTTAGATTAAGTAAATTAGCTTTATTTTATTTAATAATTGTCTCTTATTGACGATAATGTATGTCTTAAATCTTGATAAAAATGAATGATGGAACACGATAATGTTTCAACTTTAATTGATTTTTTATGGTTTAATGATGTAATTTGAGATTACCAAAATTTTGTTAAAGATTATTATTAGAATTTGTACATAATAAAACATTACCAATCAATTTCATGAATTTAGATTAATCATAACATTTATTTTTTAGCTGCCCTTATTTAGCAGAAAATGTAACAATTTTCATTCCAATAATTGGAGCGGTACTCTTCCTTTTCACAATGTCCGCCCTCCTGAGAACGTCCCTAACAGATCCGGGAATCATCCCCCGGGCTACTCAAGATGAAGCTGCTTATGTTGAAAAGCAAATAGGTATAAAATTAATTTAGTAATATATTTTTATTTTATTTAATAATTTTCGTTTCAGAAGTTACAAATTCCGCCAATAGTCCAACTTATAGGCCCCCACCAAGAGCTAAAGAGGTTCTTATAAAAGGTCAAACTGTTAAACTAAAATATTGCTTTACATGCAAGATTTTTCGACCACCTAGAGCTTCACACTGCAGTCTCTGTGATAATTGCGTGGATCGATTTGATCATCATTGTCCATGGGTAAATAAAAATTCTTAAACCATTCTATTTTTATTTATTGTCTGAGTCAGAATTTTTTTTTAATCTCTTATCATGTTTTAGTAAATGGAAGATTGTTATGTTAATGTTTTCCTTATCTGGGGAATGTATTTTTAGTGATAACATGTTATGAGTATTAATTATTACCTGAAAATTTTGTTGAAAAGTTTATCTTTGTGGGTCATAGATGTCGGTATTAAACGGTTTAGTATCGCCATCTGTTTTTTTTTATCAGTTTTTATCGGCTCAACTTTTTTATATGTTGTACACAATATTTATAGTTTATTGTAGTAATGTTTTTTTTTGTATACTACAAGGTGGGGCAGTCAAACCACATTATTTAAAAGTATTAATAGTTTTAGTAGTAAACAAATTTAATTTTTTTTGCAACAAATTAAAAAAAAAAGAAAATTTTATGTAAAGCAGAAAAATGTTTCTTTTATGAATATTAATCATAGGAAGTCGGCATGAATCACGGAAATTTTCACTGACACGTCGTAGTATGGCTGGATTATTGCAAATTGTATTGTGGATTGCGTCTTCAATCCACAATTTTAAGTCTTGTATAGTTGGGATATCCCCATAAAAAATAGTCGCACATGCTTAGATCTAGTGATTGTGGAAATCAATGAATATTCCCATTTTTACTGATGAATCAATTATCAATATTAGTGGATAAACACAGATATTAGAAATATGGTCTGAAAATTTTGAAGCAAGACCAAACATGAGAAGTGAGGAAATAGAAGAACTGCTGGACGGCAATGAACACTTGGAAAGTATGGAAGATGCAGAAGATGAAAGAGAGAAATATGACCCCCTGATGATTGAGGAAGAAGTAGTTAAAGCAGTGAATAAGTTGAAGAACCATAAAGCACCTGGTATCGATGGCATACATCTGAACTTCTGAAACATGGGATAAACAAGCTGAAGGATCATATATGTAGGCTGGTGGAACTAATCTGGAAGCACTTAAAACTCCCAAAAGGCTGGAACATAGGTAAAACCCTGCCTATACATAAGAAGGGAGACCAAGCTGTATGTAACAACTACAGTGGAATTACTCTCCTAAATGTGGCATATAAAGTGTTTGCCTACATACTTTATGACCAACAATACAATGAGATAGTAGGCAAGTATCAAAGTGGCTCTCATAAAGGGAAATAAACCATCGACCAAATCAAGCACCACAACGCAAATTGAGTTTTAGGTCCAAAATAACTGATCTAGATCCTTTCAAATAGGTGTGGGGCTACTCCAGGGAACAGCCTATCATGCCTACTATTTAACATCGCTCTGGAGAAGGCTGTAAGAGAATCGGGTATAGCAAATAGAGGAACAATTTTAATAGAAGCGTACAGATACTAGCATATGCGGACGATATAGATATAATAGCAAGAAGAAAAAGGGACCTCATAGACGTCTTCAAAGCATTGGGGCAGCAGGGAGACAAGGGCTACAGATAAATACGTCATTTCCTCCTTTAAAATGTTTATTTCTAAACCATTATAAACAAATCAAGTCGACGTTTCAAAAACTATTTCCATCATCAGGCTTAATAATTTTCTTATCTAAAGAAACCACGAATTGCAAAAATAAAACAACTATAATTACTTTTACACAAATGAAAAACACATTTATTTTCTTACACTTAAACCAGAACATGCAGAATATGATTCTTACCAACAACTTTTCACCACTTTTATCGTTGATCGTCTCGTTTACAAATCAGGTCTTTTTGAAAATTTCATAACAAGGTTAAATTGCAATTCCATTATTTGTTGGGAACCTGTTTTTATCTCCCTCACTCCATCATAAAACTAATTTATTTAAAATATCCGCATAATGCGTCCCTTTTCGTCCCACATCACATTTAAAATTAACTGCTTTATTAATGTTTTTTGTTATGAAGATCGACTCTAAATTTTTTCTTATTAGTATGTTTTTATTTGTTGTTAATACTTTTGGATTTTTAAAATCAAACATGATTTAAAGTTACCGAATGTTGGCATAAAGCTGTTTTGTTTTGCGTTTTTATTTGTTTAGTATCGTATTTATGTTGTTGTATACGTTTTTTGAGATGTTTTGATTCCCCTATGTATATTTTATTGCAATCTGTGCAATTTAATTGATATACGGTATCTACTTTATCTAATGTTTTGATTTTATCTTTCATACATGCGAATTTTATTTCGGTTATTTCATACTTCTTAAAAATGTTCGTTACTTTATTTGTTAATGTTGATATAAATTTAATTTTAAAATTTTTTTTATTATGAGTACTTTTGTTGTTATTATTTCCTTGAGTACTAAGATCGTTTACTGGAAAAATCTGCCTTGTACTACTTTGTCCAGGTATGAATTGTGGAATTAAGGGTTGTCTAATAATTGGTTTATTCTTTTTATTCGTATCTCCTTTCACATTTTCTATATCTGTCTAATTCTTTGTTTTTTGATGATCATGTTGTGGGGTTATATTATTTGTTTTGACTTTTAGTCCATATATGTTATTTAGTATTGTAAACCATGAGTTGATCAAATGCTTAGGATAAAAATTATTTAACAAAATATATATTTTTTGTTATATTTTTTTAGAAAAGGTTTATCTGTCAATTTTATTGCTCTATAGTATATTGTGTCTCAAGGGCAGAAAATAAGCATTAGCAGCCCGAAGCTATTAGATGCCCTTGGTACAGCGATAATATGGATCAAAATAAGGTTTACGTATTTTTTTATACATGCTAATAAAGCCCCTGGGGTAAGTTATAAGGGTAGGAAGTTGAGGCGAACGGTTTTCGCGGCATTAAGTACCATAATAGTACGTTTAAAAATATTAATTACACCCCTGCGAAGTTACAGGGTAAAATAGATAATAATCTTCCATAAGAATAATGTGATAAAACTTACAATTTTGAACAATATTTTGAAGAAAATCGTAAATTAATTGCAAATTAAGATTTACATTGCAAAATAGACCATATACGACATTTAGGGGTGGTTGGGGTTAACTATCTTAACCACCCCCAAAATTATTTTTTGTTGCAAGTATTGTCTATGTCGACAGGGTAGTTGTTAAATTATTCCAAATAAGCAGGGGTTGTTTACTCCCTGAAGCCCTCAGATATATGTGTGATATATCGATGAAAAGCTCCTTAAAAATGAATATCAGTTTACATTTACTACATTTTGATAGCTGTCTTCATCTTCAAGCTTTAAGCGAATATACAGGTGTTTCTAAATTGATGCGAAAGATTTCAATGGGTGATTTTCAGCAAAAAATAGGGGTGTCTTTCATATAACTTTTTGTCAAAACCTCTTCTCCTCCAAGTTATAGCCGTCTAAAGTTAAGGGAAAAAATCTGCAACTTTCTTATCTCTTGACATTTTACAACTAACAAATTGTTAGTTTGATCACAAAAAATAAAATAATGCTGAGATCAATTTGACATAACTTCATTTCTTTGACTAATAATAACCAATCTCTGAATTAATTCGCTTGAGCCTGTCTATTATTTTATTTTTTTGTGATCAAATTAACAATTTTAGGAGAAAATGTCAAGTGACAATAAAGTTGCGTATTGAATCCATCTATTTAAATCAAGTTTTTAAATAGAAAAATGTAGACTCATTAAAAACTTCTGATGCAAAGTATTATAGGGGTTGATTCTTTCACACCATTGTAATAACATTTTCGGGTTATAAAAATCGTCAAAAAGTGTCATTTTATTATTCTTCTAAATTCCTCTGTAGTGGATTTATTAAATAAAAACATTTTTTCCCTTAACGTTAGGGTGCTTTAACTCGGTGGGGAAGGGAATTTGAACAAAAAGTTATGATTTTTGCTGAAAAATCATTCCTTGAAATCTTTCGCATCAATTTAGAAACACCTGTATATCGTTCAACCCAACCCTTATAACTCGCCCCGGGGGCTTTATTAGCATTTATAAAAAAATACGTAAACCTTATTTTAGTGCATACTATCGCTGTACAAAATTGCAACGAAATCGTTGAAGGACAGTTCCGACACTTCCCCTGTGAAAAAACCTATTAACGTCAGGCGTAGTAACCAACAAAACTAAGGTAATAATATAAAAAACGCTTATAAGACCAGTCCTCACATATGAATCAGAATCATGACGATGACAAAAAATGACGAAAACTTGTTGGGCTGCTTTGAAAGAAAGGTACTCCGCCACATATACAGAGGTGTTAAGGAAAACGGAATATGGAGAAGTCGTTACAATTTTGAGTTGTGGCGGCTCTATGAAGAATCAAATATTGTACAATCCATCAAAATTAATAGGTTAAGGTGGTTCGGCCCTCTAGAAAGAATGGATGACAGGGAACCCCCAAAGCAAATGTTTCGCCAAACAGTTTTCAAGGACCAGGTGGGAAAATTCTGGGAGTTGGAAACTGGAAGACCAAGACACGAGATAGAAGAGAGTGGAAGCTGATGTTAGAACAGGCCAAGATCCACCAGGGGTTGTAGTGCCAATGAATATTCTCATTTTCACTCTCAGAAAGTTCAATGTAATCCTAGCTGTGTGACAAGTCCATCTTGTTGGAAATGAGTATTCTCATTCATAAGCTCGTGGGATGAAAAAAGGTTTCCAGCATTCGAACATATCACGCTGATGTTATGGTAACTGTATGGCCATCATCAATCTGAAAGAAGTATGGATCAATAGACAACCTAAGCCTTGACGTCTCAGGGATGGGCGGAGCTTATACCGGCTCCAAACATCTTCGTTGCTAACTGTGTTGCTAACGAAAAATCCTCATATTTATGCAATTTTCAATTAGTGTTAAAATAAAATAAAGTAAGTGACATTTTAAATGACATTTTTATGGCGAATTATCTTAGCAACTGTGATTAGCAACGAAATTGTTTGGAGTCGGTATAAGTTCCGCCCACCTCTGTGATGTCAGACTTAGGCAGTCTATTATGCTATACGAAAATATGGTATATCAAGCTGTAACTTTGGCCGAATGGACAGGTTATTCGTGAAGTTGATGAGGGTTTTCTATAGCGAAAGTTACACTTATTATAATAATAATAATAATAATATATCCACTGAGGTGGAAATGAGCTTCATCACCAATCCATAAATTATCAGTGAACTGTGGGTGAAATTGTTTATTCTGTTTTTGGTTTCACGTCTCCTCGTTCGCTACCATTCTCGTCTCAATCTACATATTTGTTTTACTAGTTCTATTATTGTAGCTTTTAAAAAGTACTTGAAGAGATTTACTATCTCATTCTTTATATTGATTTGGTGGTAGTTTTAGACTTTTACAAATGTAACTCCTAGTTTGGTTTGCCATGTATCAGTTTTCATTGAGTACGTGTTGATCTATTGGTTTGTTGAAGTTCTTTTTTATAACAATGACGATTATATCTGACAGTCGATCTCGCTGATATAAATAAAATATGTATTCTTCAGGTGGTATTATTTGTAATGCATTTACTATCGATATTTGTTCACCATTTATCATTTTTATTTTAACACCAACTGTTTCAGATGTTGAATACCATTCAATTCTAACTCTTCATGCTGTATTCCTATTTTGCCACTGTTGTAGAAATTCGATCCTTTTCGTATACATTGTATACTGGGATGTTACATCTTTCACCCTGCTTTAAATGTATTTCAGTAATGGAGAAATTCAATGATTTCCGTTCGTTGATTCTTTACTCTATTCGCGTTCCAGTCCATAACGGTGATATCTTGTATAGTTCCGTTGTTATTGTTATCCATTGATAAGATTAGGAAGTAGGGAATTTGCGATGAATTGTTTAATTTGCGTTATAAGTGGTGTAAGGAGATCTTTTAGATGTTTGATTATGGTATCTAATTGTGGATGTGAGGGATGAAGATATAGGACTATGATTTGAGCTAGACGTGGGAGTAGTGTTTAAATTTTGGTGTTGAGTGTTTTGTTGATTTAAAATTTGTGAATAACTTTTTGCGGTGGTGTGGTCATCATTTCCTTGAGGAGTCATATTTACATTTCGAGTATGGGGTGGTCTTCGCCTGGGTGCATTTTGTTGCTATATATTATATGATTTTTTTCGTATTTAACAGATTTCGGCTATTAGAAACAGTAGTTCCAGATATCACCAAATTCCTAATATCAATAGCATTATGGTATGTTTTCTGGTTTTCTTCTCGCTACAACGCTAATTATGCATTGAAAAATTGATTTGATATTGCATAATATGTTTTTGGCCTTTTTTTCTGTTTTCAGTTCAACTGCGCATAATGATATTGGTTTATTGCTTTTGTTAAGTAATGTAGTTACTCTAATAATTAGAAATTTGTGGGTTTGTAGTTCGTTAAATATTTCTCCTTCAGTTAGTTATGTGGGCAAATGTCTTATAATTACAGATGTGTGTTTTCCATCTATTGATTAAAAAAAAATTTAAGGTTAAATTATTTTAATTTTTATATTTTATTATTTTTAGGTTGGAAATTGCGTAGGTAGAAGAAATTATCGGTTTTTCTACATGTTCATAGTGTCATTAGCATTTCTTGCTGTGTTCATATTCGCGTGTGCCATCGCTCACCTAATTCTAAGTAAGTAAAAACCACTCTATTAAAAGCATAAAGACCCGTTCTTTCAAGAATATCTCCTTTTTTTCTTCGACTCTTAGTTACAAAAGATGATAAACAATTTTTGGATGCCGTAAGGGAATCGCCGTCTAGTTTAATCGTGGGAATAGTGTGTTTCTTCAGTGTTTGGAGCATCTTGGGTCTTGCCGGATTTCATACCTACCTTACTACAAGTAATCAAACCACGAATGAAGATATAAAGGGGTCGTTCACCGGAAAAAGCGGCCAAGAAAGCTTCAATCCGTACTCTCAAGGGAATGTGTGTTTAAATTGTTTTTATATCTTGTGTGGACCGGTTACTCCATCGTTAATCGATCGGAGAGGTGTTGTTACAGAGGAATATCGACGAGAAATTGGAAAAAAGATTGTTACAATTGAACCAACAAATGTTATTCAACCAAGTTTTCCGCCGCAAACTAATTTGGTAAGAATAAAATAAATAAAAAATTAAATATTTGAAAAAATACAAATTTTAGAATGGAAACCCACTTCATCAAGTACCGGAAATGTATCGTCAAACGGCGGAAAATCCAGGTACGTACTCGCCAATAATTCATAGGGGTTTTGTTCAAGGATCGGCGTCAGGTTCGACGTCATCCTCATCCTCCAAATGTTCAACAAATCGAATTATACCATCGCGACCGCTTTCATATCTCGATTATGAATCGGAAACAATGTACAGGTTTACAGCGGCGGCTCGTCATATCACGCCGACCGAAAAACGTTATGGGCCCCATTTCGGATCCCAACAACAACCGATTATTGGTAAACGCACAACAAGCCGCCGGCGACCCGCTAGTTACGTTTACGAGAATGTACACGCCGGCGAATTTTGCGTCGAAAATCCGTATTGTGTCGTTAAAACCGCTGGCGATCGATTAATTAATAATGGGGCTAATAACGGGGTTGTTACTAACGTTAAGGTGCATAATTTTCCAAAACCAAATTTTAATCGGTTGTATATACAAGAAAATTTTCGGTGATTGGGTTAGATTTAACCCGGTAGGACGCGCGTACCAAATTATTAGTTAAGGACGCACGTTGGGTATTTTATACTCATCTGACGTATATGAACAATTGAGGTCAAATATACATGAATAAATTGTTTTAGAACTGTTTATTAACTGAAATATATAATAGATATGGGGTAAAATTAGTTGAAAATTAGTTAAATTTAGTTGCTGCTGTCACTTTCTACATACTGATGGCTTTTTAACATATAGGAACGATTTATACTTTGTATATAATTGTATTAGGGTGTGTCCACACCACCACCATACACTTTTAGTAAGTGCGCGGCGTGTCTCGCATACCTCGTAGCATTGCTGCGAATATCGCGTGTTGCTACCGCGCAATGTTTCGACACACCCTTACTTACCCCTATTTATCGCATGGGGTTTTAGTTTTACAATCCTTCCCAGACGAACAGCCTTGACATCTACTTGTTGTAATTTTTAGACGTCTTGGTATCTCTTCGTCAACCACACCTTTGGACATATTAATTGTAAACGCGTTTTGACGTCTCATAGGAGTGTTAAGGTGACTACACACGTAACTGCAAACGTGACAAGCATGCATGATCAATCTTTTTGTACAAGCATGTAAAATTTCACTTCGACACCACACGATACAAGTATGCTTGAACAAGCGCCAGTTTGCGCTTGGACTAAGTAGTGAGGTTAGAATCTTAATTCTAAACTTATTTAACTCATGCTCTCTATTTAAATGCTATAACGGATTATAAAAATTAAACTTATAACTAATTCTAATAACTAATGTCATCTTTGATTGGATTCTTAACCATTTATACAAATTTTTACTTCGATCTTTCTGTTTAGAAAAACTTGTTCATGTAACAATAATCTTGTATAATTCTTCATTTAAGAATTATAAATTATTGACGCAAGAATCAATTTTTTGATACAAAAAATTGATATTGTTCGATATTAAGAATATGATATATTCTATTGGTCTGATTTCCTTCAAGAGCAAAGTTAAGGTGTTTTTGAGTGAGCTGTTGAATGATAGATTTTAGTTTGTTATTATTATTATTTTTGAAGAGGAAAGAAAAATTTTTTTTTTAATTCAATTTAGTTATTTCTATTGAAGAGTCATGTCGCTTTGGGTTTTTTTTATTGACTTGAATCGTTCGGTTGTACCTTTTTGATTTTGTTGTTGTATTCAAAATGAGGGTCTTTGAAAAACAGAGTGATCAGGAGACTATTGCTCTTGGTCGACCTGACATGACTCTCTTTGATCAGATTTAGACACATCTCATTAATTTCTTAATTTTATTTGTCTTTGTATTACTCTTTGTTTTATTTTGTTTCTTATCTGATCAATAAACATCTTTATTATTATTATTATATACTTCATTCGATAATACTTCTTCATTCAAGAATAAATTTTTCTTGAAAGTCAAGAATAATGTCTCTCAGTGCGGGATCTCAGATTGCGACCCCTACTATTATTATCCCTACATATTTCATAAATTAAAGAAAATCTCCCTACGCCATTTTTAGGCTGAAAAATCCCTACACGTAGGTAGAAATCCCTACGTTTGGCCACACGTCAAGCAGTGTGCTTGGTACACACGTGCGGTTTCGCTTGCATGATTAAAATTCAATCCATCATCAAGCGGATTGCACAAGCAAAATGTTTGTGCAAAATTATCCTACAAACGCTAAAGCATCCTGTACAAGAAGATTGATCATGCATACTTGTCAAGTTTGCAGTTACGCGTGTAGCCCCTTTAGGCCTCTCGTTAACCAAAGCTACGTGATGTCGAATTGTAATTTCGATGCATTATTGATATATGTATTATAAAGACGTCTTCACCAACGCTACCCATAAGCAACCGGTTGCCGACCATGTGATTCAGTCCGTTGTGTTTCTGATGTTATTTTTACAAAATGGTCGAGAAAGACATCAGTCGTTTCATTCAAAACATCGAGAAATATTCTTGCTTATATAATTACAATCTTGCAGGTTATTCTCGAAAAGATGTTACAAAAAAGGTTTGGGCTTAGGTTGGGTTATGTATTGTCATCACTCGATGACATCTTTCTTACAAATCGTTTTTTAAAGGCTTTTAAAAACACAATGCATCTACAGTATCAACTCCACCTTTCGTTGAATTATGAAATAATATCACTTCCGGTTTCTTTTTCATTGAATTGCTGTCAACATCCGTTGTTCCATGCATAGTGGAACCTAAAACTACTCTACCTTTCTTAGGTATGGGTATAGGAAAGTAACATTTTTATTTTTTTGGAAGCCAAATAATGTTGTGTATTGTTCTCATCCTTTTATAGCTAAAAATTTTGTTTACAAGACGTTCTACAATGGAAATTGGATCATTACATGTATTTGTATTATATGGACCTGTTGGCTGACCTTCGCTGACTTTGTAATTTACCTCCATTTGCTGAGGTCCAATATTAATTTCTCTGGTTGTTTGATATTTAAGATCTTTAAGTACAACGACGCACAGCGGTCAATTTCACAAATTTAGGACGACTATATTCACACCTCAACAACTCAGCAAGCTACGACAATGAAATTTAATACATAGCTGTTATAGCAAAATCTAAGATTCGTATCAAGTTTTAAATCATATCCGTCAACCGGAAGTGGTAGTTTATTTGTAACCATATTGAACTTGTTTTATATAAACTTGCTGTTTAAAGGTGATCAAATGAAATATTGTATAAGCGATATAAATTATAGATGTCGGAAATGGTACTTTACCTGACCATCTATCATTTTTTAAATAAGCTGGCATTTTAAATGAGATAAATGAATGAAAATTTCTTTAAGGCTTTATAATCATGAAAGCATGTTACCAGAAGTAGTCAGTTTTGTTCATTTAGGAAGCTCGTATTCAAACTGTTTTGTGATTAAATGCAAGAAAATCATTCTAGTCGTTTAATTTGGAGTAATTCATGAACTTTTATGAATTCATATACATGGTGTCCGGAAATGACGTGTACAACGGAGGACCACTAGAACCTTGACCAAATATACCTATGATGATTTAACTCAACGTATCTAATAATAATAATGTTTATTGATGATGAGGCAAAATAACAATCAAAATAGTACAATTCACAATAGAATACAATATATATCTAGTTGAACTATCTATCTATCTAACTTGAATAAACAGGCCATCTTTCAAAATTACTTGCCAAGGGTGCTGTACTACTTTTATTTTAGAAATCGTGTGTCAAACTTAATAGACATAAATTGTTTTAATCTTAACTCGATTAAACTAATATTCTTTTTTGCAAAACTAACGAGTTTTGTTGTTTCGGGACACTCTGTAGATAAGTTGGGTTAAATTATCATATTTCTGGTCAAGGTACTTGTGGTCTTCCGTTATACACGTCATTTCCGGACACCTGTATATTTATATGTTTTGTTAGAATTAAATTGTAATATAAATTGTAGAATTTTGTTTACTTATACACACTAACTGCACTATAAATACAGTAAAAGGGATAGAGTATCATTCTATTAACTTAGTATAAGTGTATTCAATACACCTTAAATACAACAATACAATGTCATGGACAATACAATAGTGTTAACAAAATTAAAGACGTGAAAAATTTTAATCCATTCTAATCCAACAAAAATCCTGCTTTACCAATCACGCAGTGAGCTAGATACAGCATTATTATATCGCAAAAAAAATACCAATTTTTTTGGTATTTTGTCCTAAATTTGAGAAATTGATCACAGTGCGACGACCATGGTGAGTGAAACAGGACTTGAATATTTTGAGTATTATAAGCAAAAATATTTTAATTCCATAACGACCAGGTTTGTTCTTTATGTATTGGAAAAACGAACATCTTCCACGCATCGGTTCTAATCTTTTATTAATCGTTGCGTATTCTCCTATTACATATGATTTTTGCATATTTTCCTGTAATCTTAAAAGAACTTCTCGGAGAGGTATTAATTTATCAATGTTTCTTCTTTCAGTCCGATCTCTCACATCATCAAAACAAAGACACCTTAGCAGAAATAAAAATCTTTTCGTAGATACACAGGAGATGAACAGATTCATTCCTGAACCACTTTTGACCATAAATCATGCGTATTTAGATGTGCTGGTTTCATTATTATCAAATTTCGGATTTATTTGTAAACATTGCGTCACGTTCTATATACATATATGTTAGTATACATCACAATCAAATCTAATATATTATTAGTGATCATGCAATTCCAAGCGTTTATTAGCGTCAAGGAATTCTATGCGTCTCCTCTAGACCCAGGTCCATTTGATACTAAATTTTAACTCTTAGTCCTCATATTTTTGCTAGGAACATTTCTTTTCATCTGGATACTATTACGCCTATGATAGTAGCAACTCATATAAGATATCAATGGGATGTCGTCGTCTGACTCGTGGGTATCGAAACTTTTATCTTGTCCAATGGCTGTGTCATGATTACTTGCAATAATACAATCATTTTCTGAATCAGAATCATTTCCTATTTCTACATTGGAACAATGCTCAATCATTTTCTCATTTACCAACGCCGACGTAAAAGATCTGTTCCGTACGATCGATCTTAATATCCTTATATGTATTATTTGACCTCTCCATTTTAACGGAGTCCATATGCTAGATTAACTATATCTTACGACTCACTGGGTTTCTCGGGCTTTGGGTTACTCGATTCAGCCATCACAAAAGATGGATGACGCTGTTCGTTTTCCCCGACAATATCGATTTCGAGATGATTTGTACGAACATTATGTAAGTGCCATTCTAGGCCTCTTGTACTTCTTAGGAGTTGTCATATCGTACTGCACCGCCTCCCTGACCGCCAAAAGTCATCATGATAGATTGTGTTCCTCATATACCAAGGTGCGTCGAAGACTATGCAGAGCACTTGGTTTTGAACGACTTGAAACCTCTGCATACCACATTCTGCAACTGTCGTCTAGAAAGCTCCGTTTAACCGTTTTAAAGCGATTTTTGTAATTGCAAAGTATAACGTTCTAAATATACATAAACGTGCATAAAACTTATTGCGTTTTAACAATGTCAAAGAATAGCATAATAGTATATGAAAAAACTAGTTTCGTAAGACACGCTTGAAATGCACGAATTCAAGTTGAAGGCGAATCCACGAGTTTTTTTAATGAATGAGTGCTTTAAGTTTTACGAAACGTGTTTTTTATGCTATTTTTGTAATTCGCGTTTTTATCCTCTTTTTTAACAAAAATAAAATAAATTTTGACAATGTAGGGAAACAGGTATGTCACAGTTGGTAACACCGTAATGCTTGAAAATAGAAATTTGAATTTACAATTAGAAATAGTCAAAACGCAAAATGTATTCACCTAAAACAAATTGTACACCTTCTAAAATAAGAGAAATTACTCAGAGTTCAATGTCCTCATCATTGTGGACCTTGTATTCGATGTTTAAACATCTATAGACAAAAATTGTCACATTGACAACTAGAAAAAATAATGTCCTAATGTCACCAACTTGAACTGGTTCCATAAAATGTTACTAAAATCTCATTACAGCATCGGATGCTGTAAGGTGTCTCATTACAGCACCCGTTTGAGTACTATAATAGCTTTCATTACCGTTGCTAATTACAAAAAGAATCTTATGATCGTGATTACTGTCGATGACGTAATAAACGGTTTTTAAAAATTACCTGGGCATATTGTACCCACGCGCGCGTCCTTCCGGGTTAAAGGTTTTTAGTTTTAATCCTGTTGTAGTTAATGATTTGATGGATATTTTGTTGTTTAATATTTTTAAAATGAGAATTGTTGAAGATTTATTTAGAAATTTAACGTTATTAGATTTGCATTTGGATTTGTTGAAATTGAGTTAATATTAACTTATGATAAAATCGTTATAATATTTATAATTTGTTGATCATGAGGTTGCGAGATGAAATTTTTAATTTAAGAAATAATCTTTGAATTTGTTGTGTGTATGTATTTTGGGTTGCATAATTTCAAATTCAAAAACTTTCACCAATTTAAAGTTTACTTATCATATTTTTTTTCTTCTTATTTATTGTGTTAAAAAAACTTATACACTCTTTTTACTAGCTGTTTATTCGTTTACTTCATAGCAAAAAGACTTTCTTTTTAATGTAATTTTTTGTGATAACCCCGTCATGTATCCATCAATACATGTTTGTTGTTCTAGACACAATGTTTCCCCTCCCCCACATACAAATTGGTTGTGTTTTTCAATCGCTATTTCACTGTTCATCTTTCCATTTACGCCTCTGTTTCATTCTTTTCATCTTTTTTTCGTTTTGTTGTATTTATTTTTGGTTTCTCTCTCATATTTTGTTCTTCGTTTTACGTTTTCTGTTGCCTTGCGGTGGAGGTTGACCATGAATCTCGGGCCTTTTTTAATCTTGGGCGCCGGTAAGTGTTCACTTTAGATGAGAGCATGGGCACGCAAAACAAAACAATTTTTTATAAATTACTGCAATTTAATTTTTTTTAACATACATTTTTAATAGCTTTTTTGTTAATTTTTAGTTTGGCTTTAACAAAGATTTTTTTAGCTTTGAATGGCTTCTACATCAAATTAGAAACAGTTTAGTTAAAACATTTATTTTTTATTACTTATGTAAACTTTTTTTCTAGATAGTAACACCGGAAGTGTGACACATTTAGTAAGTAACGAACAACCAATCGGAGTTACAGCCCCAACGATAGCTAAATTAGATGATCAACAGTACACTTCACAACCTTGTTTAACTCAAAGTGGAGGTGGGGGCGTGGGTGCCCCCGTTTACAGTAACATTATGGGACGAAATCAGCATCACCACCCCGGTTTAATAAGTAAAAGTCACAGTTATTCCCATAATTTAAACGGGGATCGGCAAATGATCCATCGCGTTGAAGATTTACATTTAGATTTAGTGGAATTACGCGAGAGCCACATCGCTTCGGCTGCGGTGGCCGCTCTTAACGAAAAGACGAGAAACGAAAAAGAAGTTGTTAAACTCGATAATGATTTAACAGCGCAAGATAAGGAAAATTTAATGTTGAGTTCCAGTCGGTTAAGATTATTGCAGGACACGACGATGATTGAAAGTGCGTTAGATTTAGATTCGTTGGACGATTCGAGTATTGGCACGAATCAAAGTCAGGCAGGTTTAATGAAAGTTAGTGTATAACAAAAATGTAAAAAAAGTAATTTAAAATGGAGAGAAAGAAGTTTGAGAAATGAGTAAGTTGTGATATTTTTTGTGGTTATCTTTTTAAGTTGATTTTTTTTCCAAAAATGGGTTTGTAATAAAGACAATCACGGTTTCGGCATAGAAAAAAGGTAATTTTCAATTAAAAATAGGTTATTTAAACATTATTGGTGCTTTTAGTTTGTTTACATGAACACTTTTTATTAACAAACATCACAAATTTAATTATTTTGTTAAAACATGACAGCACGAAAGCTTTAAAAGGATACGAAATTTATCTCAAAAGGAATATAATAATGTTCAGTACTAAACATTTCGAGAAAATAAAAATTTTTTTAATTAAAAGTAAAAGAAAAATATTTGTTTGCAACAACTAATTTGCAATGACCATTGTGCAATACTCCTCTAATAATAAAAAGAAAAGATTTATTTAATAAATAAAGTCCTAAAACCACCCAACTTGAAAAAAAAAGAATAAAAGCAACAAGTACCTCTACGAAGTCAATATTATTATCTAAATATTTAACTTGTGTAAAAAGTTGTATATTTTTACAAAAAAATATATATATATTTATGTCGCGTTAAATTTAAGGCTCGTTTTTAATCGCGTTTTTATTGCGTTTCGATTTAATAATCGTTTTTTAAGCAAACGTTTTCTCTATCCTTAAAATGTCGTTAATTACGTGTGTATTTTATTTTTTTTTTATTGTAAATAATGGTCGTTATATATATTTTTTTAGTTGTTCTTATCAAGAAAATCGTTTGACAATAATCGTTAAAATAGAAAGTAAAATCGTTTTTTTTAAATCCTTTTATATACGGATTGTATGTTATTTTGTAAATATTGTGGCGATTTTTCGAAAAAAAAAAACGGAAACATCGGAGTTTAAAAGAAAAAACAAAATTAGTGATAATAATTTGTAGGATTTGTACATAGATGTTCATTTTTAATTTTCTTATTATGAGAAAGCAAAATAGTACTACTATATCTATATTTATATACAAATTAAAAAGGAATTAAATTAATTAATTTAAAAATAAAAAAGAGATAAAATAAAAACTCAAACTGTGTATACTGTATAGAAAACATTGTGCTTCGTATACATGTGATGTTAGCAATATACTAAGAACTGAAGTTTTAACGAAAAAAATTGTATTGTGACCTATTTTTTATGTTTGTATTTAGGTTTTCATTAAAAACTCATAAATGAAAGCATCAAACAAATTTGATTTATTTAATTAGTAATTTTTATATCATATTGTAGACCTAATTCGAATCTCCATTAATCCAAATATCCTTATTATCAAATCAAAATATATAAATGTTATGTTATGGATCCAATTTAGCGATTATTTCAACTGAATAGTATGATTTGAGATTTTTTTTTACTAAAGTGTCTGTTTCATTTTTTCTATGAATCTGTTTGACATCAAAATAACCACAAAAAATTTTAAATTTAGTTTTAATTTAACCATAGGATCTCTGAAGACCCTAAGCGTAATTTTTTTTTTTTTTTAATTTCTTTAGGTACATTAATAAAGTCATATGTAATAATAAAAATATGAAATAAATTGTTTAAGACCTAACCTGTGGCGAAAACAAATAGATTGTCTAAGAAATCAACTAGGTAATGTAACAATAGACAAAAAGAGACTTATTAAAATTGTTGAAAAATTCTATAAAGAACTGTATAACACCAAAACTAAACAGGGAAGAGAAAGTAAAAATAAAGCCAGCATATTAAACATTGGAGCTGAAGAATTACCGCAAATAGCGATAGAAGAACAAGAAGAAGATCTTAGTGAAATGAAAAAGAATAAAGCACCATGATAAGGTGGAATTACGACAATCATGACTCTCTAAAGAGTAGACGTAAACTAATTAATATTATCACGAAATTATTGGACGAATGCCTCCAGAAAGGTACAATACCGAACACATGGAGAAAGGTTAAAGTGGCGCTGCTATACAAAAAGAGCCTACAAGAAAACTAGAAACTTACTGACCCACTAGCCACATTCAAACTATTGACAAAAATAATTACCACACGCTTGCAAAAAAAAACTGTTCGAATACTTACCAAACTAGCAAGCTGGATTTAGGGTAGATTTTTCAACAGCAGATCACTTACTAACAATGAAGCTCCCAATATAGAAATTAAACGACTATAACATAACTGGGATTCGTCGATTACGAAACGGTCTTGGATTGCATCGAAATTTGGGCTATACAGAGAGACAATCGGTAGTAGATATAACTAGTTATTGCAAACAATATCTGATAAAGCAACTGCAACATATCAACATAATGACAAAATGAAGCCGATACATTTGAAGAAGAGAATCCGCCATGGGATTCTTAGCCTATCTCCTAAGTTGTTTACTATAGCGTTCGAAGATGTTTTCGAAAATCTCTATGATCCGTGTATTACGTATAGTAATACGAAAAAAATTCAAAATTCTTGTTTGCGTTTGATATTTGGGTTACGGGGGCGCCGTCAGCATGTTTCGCACAAATTAAAGGATTTGAGTTGGCTCTATATGAAAAACAGGCGCATACTTTATTCGGCGGTTTTGTTCTTTAGTATAATTACTTTGAAGAAACCTCCATATTTGTTCAATAGAATAAAATTTCGTACCGATGTTCATACCTTGAATATTCGATTTAAGGGCATTTAAGAAATGCTTTTCATACCAAATAACACATATTCTTAATGATTTGCCATCAACTATAAAATGTGGCACTTCTTTACGGTTGTTTCGTCACAGAATGAGGGGCCGCTTGTCTCAAATTCAGGATGCATTGTAGGGCGACAGGGATCGCGCAGTTTGCGCTTGGTAATTGATTATGATTTCAGTATCGGGTCTTTTTCTTTTCTTTTTCTCTCTTGTATATTTAGAGTTAGAATTAGTTTTATTAGGTTTGAGTGGAAGAGGAGGTGCTGTTACGGCTGCACCTGAACTCCGCCTAATTTGTCCTGGCTTAATTTATAATAATTTCATGTATACTAAGTCAATGTACATCTAATGGGACAAATAAAGTCATATTATTATTATATTTCTTCACTTAAACTATTTAAAGTTGAAACCCAATACAAAGCTGTTGTACAAAGCTTTTTAAAAAATTTCCAAACTTGTTTTCCACTCCCAATTTTTCCGTTCCAATAAAATATTCTGTATGCCATCAAATTATTACTAATGATCATTTACCTTTTTGTGGTCCACGACGTTTAGACCAAGTAAAGTATAACATTGCAAAAACTGAATTTAGGGATTTGTAAACCTTCCTCATCTTCAGTCGCTTCTGCTTTACATATATATGGTCCCAAAAAGAGACTCAAACGATTGGCATCCTTGCGGCGGTTATCGCCAACTTAACAATATAACAATTCCTGACCGTTATCCCTTGCCTCATATACAGGATTTTAATTTTCACATTCATAATTGTACAATTTTTTCCAAAATTGATCTTGTTCGTGCTTATCATCAAATATCGGTGGCAGAACAAGACATTTATAAAACTGCTATCACCATTCCTTTTGGCCTTTATGAATTTACGCGTATGCCATTCGGATTACGTAACGCCGCACAAACATTTCAACGTTTTAACAATGAAGTGACTAGAGGTTTAAATTTCATTTTTGTCTACATTGATGACATTTTAATTGCAAGTAAAAATGAAGAGAAACATTTAACTCATTTGACACAACTTTTTGAACGACTTGATAATTATGGCATTAACGTCAAACCTTCAAAATGTATTTTTGGTGTCAATTCTCTCGATTTTTTAGGCCAGAAGGTATTCTTCCTTCTGAGCAATGTATTAAGATCATTAATTCCAACAACGCTGAACAACTTGAACGTTTTTTGGGGATGATCAATTTTTACCACAGATTTATACCAAATTTTTCTCAATTATTACAACCATTACTAGCAAGTTTTACTCGTGTTCTTAAACAAAAAGAATTACTTTCCTTTTCTATTGAGTGCCAAGATTCTTTTTCTTCTGCTAAAACGTCCCTAAAGGGGCCTATCCACGGTTATGCATGCATGACAAGCATCGCAAGCTGTCATGCAAGATTGGCAGTGGATGGGGTTGCATAAGACGCTTTCCTCGGCATGACAGCCTGGCATGACACAATTCAAACCGTTTTGATTTTCTGTGCGCGGGGCATCAGGCTTGCAAGCAAGCGTGCACGTGGATGGCTATGCTGTTATGCATTTTGTCATTCCATCTGTAACCTTTGTGAGGTAAACATCACTTTCAACATGGCTTGTGGAAGCGAGAAGTCCTTTTGGATGGAATTTTTTGAAATATTTAGAGATCATGAGGAACTGTGGAAGGTTAAAAGCGAAAAATACAAGGATAAAAACGAACGGTCGAAGGGATATGATATTTTATTAAAAAAATATCAGGAAAAAGATGAAAATGCAACTATGGACACTTTAAAGAAAAAAATAAATACCATCCGAACCAACTATCGACGTGAGTTAAAAAAGGTGAAGATGAGCGAAAAATCAGGGGCCGCATCGAAAGATATTTACACTCCGTCTTTATGGTATTTTGATCAACTACACTATCTTAGGGATCAAGAAACACCGGATGTTGGCATATCAACATTAGATATTGAAGAAGGAGAAGATGTAAGTAAATAAACACAAACCTTTAATGATTAAAAACTTTATTTTATAAATCCCAAATACAAGTGCTAATTATATTATTATACTGTTTGTTGAAATGGAACTGCACCAACGGTATTAAAATATGTACGAAATTTATCTCTTACTTCTTTTGCAAAAAGTGTTGAATTTCGCGCATTTGTGTTGTTATTTATGGGTAGTAACTCCTCCCCAGAATGAGTGTTCTCATTACGTATATTTCCTTCCCTATATGTTTGCCCCCGGTTCTTACTCAGATAATTATGTAAGTAACAACAAGCCAGAACAATGGTAGCACTTTTTTCGGGGGATAAATTTATCGTAGTTAATAAAACTCGAAATCTTGAGGCCAAAATTCCGAAAACATTCTCAACAATCCGTCGAGCTCTGGAAAACCTGTAATTACAAATGTCCTCTTCCAATGTTAAAGCCCTTTGGCTATATGGCTTCATTATAATATATGTTCTTTTAAAGGAAAAGCGTCATCTGCTATAAATACGTATGGCACCTTTTCTGGAAAATTTGGTAGTTCTATTGGTTGTTCTATCTGGGAGTTTTAATCTGTTTTCTTGAAGTCTTTCATAAAATTTTGTTGCGGTAAAGACTTCGCCATCTGAAATTCTACCAGTTGATCCAATATCCGCCATTATAATTTCGTAGTTTGCATCAGCTATCAACATCAGCACTATGCTGTGAGTCTTTTTGTAGTTAAAATAGTGGCTACCTGAATTTGCTGGTTTTTTAATCGCTACATGTTTACCATCTATTGCACCTAAGCAATTTGNTGGCAGTTACGCCCCCTAGCGGTCGAATTACGAACTTCAAAATAATTTCCAGCTATTTCTCTTGCCCACTTTGCTTATAAAGATTTTTTTCCCAAACCTCTAGGCCTTACCGTTGTTGAGATACAGCCGCTCCGTACGCTTAACGGGACACTCTGTATATATGGTCCCAAAAAGAGACTCAAACGATTGGCATCCTTGCGGCGGTTATCGCCAACTTAACAATATAACAATTCTTGACCGTTATCCCTTGCCTCATATACAAGATTTTAATTATCACATTCATAATGGTACAATTTTTTTCCAAAATTGACTTTGTTGTGCTTATCATCAAATACCGATGGCAGAACAAGACATTTATAAAACTGCTATCACCACTCCTTTTGGCCTTTATGAATTTACGCGTATGCCATTCGGATTACGTAACTCCGAACAAACATTTCAACGTTTTAACAATGAAGTGACTAGAGGCTTAAATTTCATTTTTGTCTACATTGATGACATTTTAATTGCAAGCAAAAATGAAGAGGAACATTTAACTCATTTGACACAACTTTTTGAACGACTTGATAATTATGGCATTAACGTCAAACCTTCAAAATGTATTTTTGGTATCAATTCTCTCGATTTTTTAGGCCATCATATAACTCCAGAAGGTATTCTTCCTTCTGAGCAACGTATTAAGATCATTAATTCCAACAACGCTGAAACAACTTGAACGTTTTTTGGGGATGATCAATTTTTACCATAGATTTATACAAAATTTTTCTCAATTAGTACAACCATTACATGCGCTAGCAAGTTTTACTCGTTTTCTTAAACAAAAAGAATTACTTTCCTTTTCTATTGAGTGCCAAGATTCTTTTTCTTCTGCTAAAACGTCCCTTATAAATGCAACTAGTCTTGCTCATCCTTGTAAAGATGCTCAATGAACACTAACAACAGATGCTTCTTCTACTTCTATAGGTGCTGTTTTAGAGCAATTTGTAAATAATTTATCACAACCAATTGCATATTTTTCAAAAAAACTTTCGCCTTCACAAACTAGATATTCAAGTTTTGATCGTGAATTATTTGCCATTTACGAATCAATAAAATATTTTAGACATTTACTTGAAGGTTATAATTTCACAATATTTACTGATCACAAACCTATTATACATTCTATTTCATTTAAAACAGAAAAATTTCCCAGATAATCTCGTTATTTAAATTATATTTCACAATTTACATCAGATATTAGATACTTTAAAGGAGAAACTAACATAGTAGCTGATACTCTATCACGTTTAGATATTGATGTCATTAACTCACCTTATCCTGATCTTGAAACTTTAAAAATAACTCAAGACAGCGATTCTGAGCTAAACATCTTTTACAAAAACAACTTCTTAACAAAGCAAAATTTATTTTAGCAAAAGAACAAATTTCTTCCTACAATTTAAAACTTTGGTGCGAAATTTCTTCTTCCCTATCACGCATTTATGTTCCCGTCAAATTTCGTAAAACAATCTTGTCTAATTTTCACAACATTTCACATCCGGGAGTACGCGTTACACAAAATTTAATCAAAACAAGATTTTTCTGGCCAAGAATGAATACATTGGACAAAATCTTGCATTAATTGTCAACTTTCTAAAGTAAATAAACATACTAGAACGCCTATAGGAGAATTTATCTATAGATGATCTCGTTGGGCCTCTTGCCCCATCTGACGGAAATACATTTATTCTTACTGTTATTGAGCGCTTTACAAAATGGACTGAATCTTTTTCTCTTTCCAATATAACGACACCCACGATTGCTTATGCTCTTTTTACTCATTATTTTTCGAGATTTGGTATCCCTCATACTATTACGCATGATCAAGGCACTCAATTTGAATCGAAACTCTCCAATGAATTCAATAAATTTTTCGGTTCAAACCAAATTCATACCTATCATCTATCTACCGGTACAAATCACTAAATAGGAAAAAACATAAAAGGCAGGAACCAAGCGTCTAGTTGGAAGATCGTTCAAACATTGAGGGAAGCTGAATATCCTTATCATAAAAAGGAATGGGACAAAATAGACAGGACTAGATCCTATAACAAGAAGATTTTGAATTTGCTCATCAAAATTTTATTTTAATACATAAGTACATATAACATCTTTTAATAATTGTTAATTTTAAACCTTACATTCGCTTTCCAAAATACATTCATTACTATCTTCGGAAGCTAAAACGTATCCGTCTTTACAGAAGCAACCAGGAACACAAACAGCTGTACAAATAACGAAATCATCTTGACCGCAATATTTAGGGCAGGAACTACCGCAAATTCTATATTCTTTATTGAGTCCGCAACTTGGCATTGCGGAGCATCTTCCCTTAGGAATACATTTGTTCGAATCGACGGCTTCAAGGACGAATCCCTTCTGGCAAAAACAATCTTGTACGCATTCTAAGGTACAGAGCATATTGCTTGGATCCCAATTACAATATTCGGGGCAACTTGTACCACAAGCATTGTAAACTTGATGACGCGGACATATTTTTGCACCGCAAGCAATTGAAACTATTAACAAATTGCAAGTTAAATTATAATTAATACTTACAAAATTAAATTTATATTTACCAACAATGAAAAGAAATAAAATGGTGAGTTTAGCCATATCTTCTCTTTTTTTTTTCGTTTTTTTCTGTACTGGAAGCTTTAACTGTTGAAATACTTTAAGTGGAAATGCATAAAGTTGATGTATTTATACAAAAATTCTTATCTCACAACAAAACAAAAATTATTTACAAATAATTCATATGCAAACACAGACTGTTAACGTCATAACATTGAAAACGGGCATAAATTTTTGATAATACCATTTTATAAATTTATAGCCATTTTCAATTGTTTATTATTAAAATAAATAAATACATTTTAATCACTATGCAGCAAAATATAAACTAAGAATATTTATTTTTCTTTTTGTTCTTGACCTCTTTAAACCCTTTAAAACTATGTAGTTTTCAAAGTCCCTCAAAGAAAAATCCATGAGGAGTGAGAACCTTTTTCAATGATCTTTTCTATCTGATAAAATTTTCTTTGCAATGTCTTCTAATCGTATAACTCTTTGATCGATATGTTCTATGCTATAAACGTCACACATGAAAAAGAACTACTAGTCTGAGCAGTCGGGGAGGGACGCAAAAATTAATACTCCCTAGTAGTGGAGGAGAATCAATTATTAATGATTTTGTAGTATGTTAACGCATCACAAGATCGACGTTGACAGAGTAATAAAAGATTGAAGCTACGACATGCAGACTCGACATGCGAAATATTAAAGAATATTAAGAACCATTAGAAAATGACAAAGCAGCAGCTCCAGGCTGTACAATATTGAAAACTGAGTTGAAGTTAGTTGCAAACAGTGAAGATACACTATAAGCAAAGTGAGGTGGGAACATCGCAACCACGTTTCCTCTGCTTAACAAATGACCAGAAACACCTAGGGATGGAAGATATATTAGATTCAGAACGGAGAACCCCTCAGCATGGAAAAGGTAAGGTAACCAACATGACAACGATAACGATTCCATCTCTTCTCATTGATTATTTTTATGGTAGATGATTTCATACTTATGAAACTTAGTAAGAAATTGTTCAATGGCGTTATGTAAGTGATTATAAAAAACATCAATGCAAAAGTCTGCGTCATTATTGCTCAGCTCCGTCCTCCAGTTTATCATCGCAAGGTGAGTATTAAGTAAATCAATATTAGTTCTAAGATAATTGTAGGAGACGGATCAATTAACGTTAAGATTAGGTGGCGTTATGAAACAAAAAGACGTTCAGGTATCAGAAACAGCGTTAAAATGAATCTAACGAGTCGTGGTTAGCTCCTTATATGCCCACACAGCCAAAAATCTACAAATTCCTAATTTGGTTGATTCCAGAGCACAGATGGGTGTGGTTTAAATGTTGTGACGTAGGAAGCAGGCAAGGACATGTACAGACATGTCCACTCAATGCTCGGCAGTACAACAATATATCTTGTAGTATTTTTCTTATATGCTCACTTTTATATGAAATCCACCACCCACTAAAATTCAAATTACAATTTTGAAACATCCGTAAAATAATCCTTTATTATCAACTAAGAAACGATGAAAGTTTCCGCCGAAAAAACTCAACTGTTGTGTTTCCTGTACCATTATTATCTCCAACTTTCAATATTTTCTTCCTAGCAGATAATGAATTTCTGCCCACAAAATGTCAGTTTATTTGATTGTCAAAAAGACGCCTTGTAATGCCCCCAGTGCGACGTCGTCGAAATTTTGCCCATATCAATGACTTTGATAGGGGCCGAACTATCTGTATGAAAGAGGCGGCTCTCTCATTCCGATTGGGAAAAGACTGAATCGGGACCACACTACTTTATTGTCCGAAGAAGGTATTCAGAGGCGCCGTCCTGCTGAAGACCAGCCCGAAGAAGAAACGCACGTGAAGACCAACTCCTTAACCGGATGGCTACGAGGGATCGATTTCAAACAACAAGCTCGATTGCTGTGGATTGGACGAGAGCTTTGAACCGACACTTGTCGATGGTAACTGTTTACAGAAGAATTTCTTTCTTTGGGCTTCATTCATACCATCCTTACCTTCGGCTTCCATAACACCTCCCCATAAAGCAGCCAGACTTGCATTGTGTCAAGAACGGCAAGGATGGGTTCATCAATGGAATGACATCGTCCTTAGTGATGAATCAACGTTTTGTTTAAAACATGTGTGGGATATGATGGGTCGGCGACTAAGACAAGTACCCAGGCCTCCTGAGAATCTGGATGAACTTCGACACCATCTAGAGGTTGCATGGAGGTGACATACCCCAGGAGGGCATCGATCACTTAATAGACAGCATGCGTAGAAGAGTTAATGCGTGCATAGTGCATGGGTGGTGTATTTCATGTGAAAACGAGTGTATACAAGTCGCTTTAAAATTCTGTAAAATTTAATGCACTTTTGAAAAAACTATTTTAAAAAATTTCTCAAAATCCTGGCGTGATGAATATAAAATTAGTTTCCGAATCAGCATAAAAAACGACATAACTACACGTAATGGTGTATGAGAAATAAATTGTTTTGGGAAGTGTTATCGCTTTATGTGATAAATTCTTATACATTAATCAGTACGATTTTTTTATATGTTTGGTATTAATAATAACCGATTAATTAGTTGAACCATAACATTTACATTTCTGCCTAAGTAGCTGAAGTTGTCCACTACTTCGAAGTTGCAGTCTCCAATTGTGACACTCTGCCCAACACGATATCTCCATCTCTTACTCTGAATCAGGAGTTTGGTTTTGTCTTCGTTGATCCTTAGTCCAACCCTTACCAAAGGCTTTCTTCACCACCTGTATTATCCAAGGATGTTAAGATTATCTGCTTATCCTACCATTTGGACGGACTTCTTTATCAAGGTTGCGTTTAGTTCGAATCCATTTCTTTCCATAGCATATTCGAGTGATATGTTGAATAGTATAGGCACTAATCCGTCTACTTGTTTCAATTCTGAAGACACTTTGAATTCGCTTAAGAATTTCCTTTCTACTTTCACTCGGCATGTGATATTGGATTGAGGTCGTGCATTATGGTGTGTTTGAAGTCTGTGATTTGCTGGTGGATGTCGGTGTCAAACGCCCAAAACTTTTCTTAGGTCTAAATTTTGGTCTGAAGTCACTTATGATGTTTTGAGTGTATTTTTCAATTTGTCTCTGATGATTATCGCGAGTACTTTGTATACACTGCTAAGTAGTGTTATTTCTCTATAATTTTCACATTTGAGATTATCTCCTTTTTAAGGCAAATGATGTGCCATTCATCGGAGATCTTTTCTGTTTTCCATATTTTCACTATGAGTTTATGTGTCAGTGTAGCGGGGTTGTAAGTTGTTTTCCCCCATATTTTAAATGTTTATCTTCGTGTGCTTCTAGGTTTAACTTATGTCGGGCCTGCAGTGTATTCGTGGTAAAGAGTTTTTGTCAATCACATAATAAAACCTACTCAGGAAAAAGTAAGAAGAAGTCACTTGTCGTTACGACCTAAGGATCCCAGCCTGAAAGAAACTATGAAAATCACTTTTAGAATAACTAACACATTGGAAAAAATGGATAAGGTAAAATATTTTTCTTTAAATATCAAAAACTGTTTATCTTATTATTTATTTCATTGATTAACATTTTTTCAATATTTATTATTTCACCTAATTACTTCGCTTGTATCTCGTTGTTTTGTATATTCTTAATATGAACGTTATAATCATCATAATTCCCGTAGGTTTCTTCATTTAATCTGCATACTATATGAATTGCCGTGCGTTTATTTGGTTCTCTTGTGTAAATATTTCTGGTCGCTAATTCACCTACAAAAAAAATTTCTACATTCTTGTTTCATGTTACACCATATAAAGACAATTTCTTTTTAATTTATTTATTTACCTTCACAATAATCTTCGATAATAACCTGAGTACGATGATTTATTGATGTTACTTTTCTGACACATGTTCTGGTCAAATACGAACATACGGTAAAACATCGTTTAAAATATGTGTCACCTTTAAAACAATTTTTAACAAAATCGAAATCATTGACTAAATTAATAATGAAAACTTACAATAATTTTCTTCTTCATAATTTTGACTTTTTACAAAAACCAGAATTTGTAACATCAAAATTAAACTAAATACGATTTTATTCGCGAACATTGCGTGTTATTCGATTATCGGAATTGCAATAATTATTGCAAAATTAGAAATTGCAATAATATGTTTTGATATATCTTTTTTGTTTCATTTATTTACTGTAATTGAAAATTATAAATAAATATCAAATCAAATGCGTTTATAATGTTACTCATATTAAAACGTTTATTCAAAAACAAGTACGAAAATGCGTTTGTTTATTCATTTGCTATTCTATAATTATTTCTAGTTGCTTCTTTATATTAGTTATATGTATAGTAAGGTGTGATAGATAGGATAGCGACGAAAACGAAGATGATTTTTTAGACTCAAAGATGGCTCTACGGAATTGTTAGACTCTTTATCACAAAGCATATAATCTCTCAAGGTTATTGTAAAGTCGATTTGATGCTACAAGGAGAATGACGCACAACTCATCGGGTGACTGGTGAACTCGCCGTATCAGACATTATGTATAATTGTCTCCGTAACATTGTTCTTAGTTTCGTTTCAAGTCCGTTTTACATCATATATACTTCGTCTAAGAACCGACTTACATACAACACTTAGATACACCAAGAAATTCTACAATAGAAAAAATAGATGAACCTACAATTTTGGGCCAGTGTCGTTTTCTAGATGTTAGTATAAAATTAAATGTTTGTTTTTTATTTTATATAGAATTTAAATCTAACTGGTTTCGGCCCTTGGCCATCTTCAGAGACTCTAGAAATAGATTAACATATCTCATTTTATCCATTTTACAAACGACAGCGGTACATATTTACATTTAGTTACATATTTTTATTGTACTAAAACCAGAACTAACACTGTCACTAGAATTAACACAAGACTTAGAAGTAGAATTCATTCGGGTTTATTCGGGGGAATTCATTCGGGTTTAGCCGTCTTGAGAGACGTGGGATTAAATCTGAATGTTTCTAGTTCTTGGTCTAGTGTTAATTCTAGTAGTAGTGGTAGATATCGCTAGTTAGCATAAAATATTACTATATTGTATATTTTTATTGAACTAAAACTAGAACGAGAATTAGAAATATTCGGGTTTGGTCGTGACAAAAACTTTCAGTTGTCAATGTCAACTTTAATTTTATTATTGTATTCGTAATCTTCATAAAATAACCTTTAAAGTGCGAACTTTCAAGTTTTAATGTTGACATATTTGTCATCTTCATTAAAAAACCTTAGAATAAAAAACATTAAACCCTAAGTTAGCAACAATGAAGATAGCAGTTGAATTTTTAAATATTAACATACCCACCTTAATTTTTTATTTATTTTTTATTATATTTTTGTTTTTGTGACAAATATTAAGATATTTTATAAAAATTAAGAATATGTATGTCAAAATGACATTGACATTTCAATCCGGAAATTCTTATGTCTCGAGTAATATTGGAATTGGCGTTGACATTTTAACCGGAAGTTGACCATAACTTCATTAATATAGAACAGTGGTGCCCACCAATTTTTGACCAACATCGACTTTTTATACAGGGTGAGCCGGGAGGAACGGACCAAACTTTAGGAGTGTATTGTACGCTTGAAAATAATGTAAAAAAACTCATATGTTGTTATCCGATTTTCTTTTGTTTTCAATTGATTGCATAACTACAGTTAAACATTTAACGTTTGATTTGCATTAAGTGCTATAAAATGCCAAGTACTTATTCACATTTAGAATATACAGACATGTTATTTGTTTATGGTTTTTGTAACGGGAGTGCTATAGCTGCTGCAGATGAATATCGTCAACGGTTTCCAAATCGCAGACATCCTAATAAAAACGTTTTTATTAGGGTTTTCAATAAAATGCGCGAAACCGGTACACTTCCCAGCGTTAAAGTAACATCTGAACGAGCTACGTGTCAAAGTTTAAATGAAGTAGAACATATTTTAGATCTAGTAGAAGAAGATGCAACGACCAGCTCACGCAGAATTGCTGTTCAATTAGACATCCCACAAAAGAGAGTAATAAACACACTCCACGAGCAATGCTTATATCCATACCATTTAGGTAAGGTACAACATCTACTGCCGGAAGATTATGTTAAACGAGTCGAATTTTGTCGGTGGATAAATAATGATCATCGTGTTGTATCGCATATTCTTTTCACGGATGAAGCAACATTTACCCGCGACGGCCTACATAATACTCGTAATAGTCACGTATGGTCCGATGAAAATCCCCATGCAACAATCGAAAACAACTTTCAACACAAGTTTTCGGTAAATGTGTGGTGTGGTATGATCAACGGTTATTTAATTGGCCCTTTCATTTTGGAGAATCGCCTCACAGGAAACCATTACCTAGAGTTTTTACAAAATGAATTAAATGATTTACTGCAGGATGTTCCTCTAAACATTAGAAGGCAAATGTACTTTCAACACGATGGAGCTCCGGCGCATTTCGCTCGTCAGGTCAAGCAACATTTGGACGAAAGGTTTCCAGGGCGTTGGATTGGTCGTGGTGGTCCTATTAGTTGGCCTCCAAGATCTCCAGATCTCACAGCACTTGATTATTGTTTGTGGGGATGGTTCAAAAGTGAGGTATACAAAGTCAAAGTTGACACTAGGGATGCACTTCTTAGGCGCATTCTAAATGTTGCAGTTAATATTAA